GGGGTTCATTATTTTCTGATGTTTAAGTACACGCTCCTCTCCCCCCGCGAAGGACCCTCCGACTCGAGACAAAGGATGTAACCTCCCGGGGAGCATTTGGCAAAACTCCTTGAGGGTATTAAAGGTCCTCCAGGAGTCGAAGCCTCCTAATCCCTGGGAAAGAGGTACGGGTCTCTCTCTCTCTGCTCGAAACATCCCAAATTCCGTATCAAACGTCCTTTTCCTCTTCCTTACGTATAATTTCGTAAATCCGGTAATCCGGAGAATTAAGAATAAGAGATAAGTAACGGCGGCACAACGGGGTTATTATCGGACGCTTGGCAGGAGGAGGGGCTTGATAAATCAGGAAAAATCAGGGGAAATCGAGGCCAAGGAAAATTGAGGGAAATCAGGAGACCTCCGGGAAAAATGTGGAGAAACCAGGGAAATTCAGGGCAAGGCGGGGGGATCGCGGAAAGATCAGAAAATCCGGAAGATGAAAAATAGGACAAAACTCGGGGGGCGTAAAGAAAAATCAGAGGAAGTCGGGGAAAATTCCAGGAAATTCGAAGGAAATCTAGAGCCGCCGGGGGGAGACCAAGGAACGTCGGAAAAATCAAGGAAAATCAGTGAAATCGAGAAACGCCATTTCCAAAGGATTCACGAAAAATATTAAAACTCGAGAAGTCACGCGGAAACCAGAGAAAATCCTAAAAGTCGGGGAGAAAATTCCGGGGTAAATTTTTTTTCCCCCTCGAAAGGAGCGAGGCCCGGTAGATCCAGTCGAACGGCCGCGTCGCTCCTCCCTTGTAATTCCATAAATCCAATAATTGTAAGGGTGCCAGGTGCTGGCCGAGCCGGTGGCTTAGGGTCGGGATCTCTCCAGGCAGGAATCCCTCGATTCCCTCACTTTCCAGCCTACCATCAGGGACCCGTCCGGGCCCAAGGAAACGGGCACCGAGGAATAAAAAAAAAACCCGACGGCCAGGGGAAGGTTCGTTTCCCTCCAAAGCCGGCTAAAGGGAGGAGCGACTCGACTGGCCATCGCAAACGAGTTCGTTCTCTCGAGCAACTCATTCTACAAGGCGTATTCCCCCTTTTCTGCCCTTCCTTCGACGTCTCCCCCACGACAAAGCATGGAAAGGTAACAAAAACCGCATCCTTGTTTAAGGGAAAAAAAAAAGATAGGAGAAAATAAAAAAATTTTTAATACGCGGAGAAAGATAAGAAGCTGCGCAGAAATCCGGAAAATCAATTTCAAAGCGCAAATAGGAGGCCAGAATTTTCAGTACAAACCCTTGCAAGCGTCATTATTGGTGCATACAAATGTTTCTACATTTCTATATTTACTCGATTAAAAAATATAGCGCCAATATCTTTTCTTCCGTTTTATTATGTTTCTATCGGTCGATATTACCGAATTAAAAAAAATGACAAAAAGGTGAAACTAGGTTCATCCGAGATCTCTTTTCGAGGTTTATCGGGCCATGGTGATTCGACCAATTATTGATGGTTACATCCGAGTCTCGCTCTCCGGAGAATCCGGTGAATTTCGGTGGCATTAATTTCGGGGACAGTGATAACGGCGTCGCCGGCTGCGAACGTATGTTTATCTTTCGGGGAGCCGTCGCGTGGCAAAAACCTTGGCGGTCGCAAAAAATATTCACCACCTCGGTCCCGTTTCTATTATCAGAGCCTCCACCCCCGCGCCCCAGTTGGCCGTATAACCGAGCAGCCTATCTCGATATGCCATTCATGGCAGAGAGCTGGCTCCCTCCCCTCGTTCCGCAATCCTATCTTCGTTTTTCCGAGTCGAAACATTCGGCGACTTATTGAATTCGCGGCGAACTCTTACAATCGTCCGTAGCGCCGACCGCCGCGTTACGTAAACCAACCCCCGGCGTGCGACGAAAAATGCGCGTTTACCGCCTCCGCGATGCGCGGTATCAAAAACATGTCCCATACAAAGGTTATCCGGCACTAATTAAACTACAACTTTTGTCATGCAAGTTTTTTCCTAAGAAACGCCGTTCTGTCGAAAAGTCGAGTTTCTTCTCGTAAGTCCTAGCAGCGTGCTTTGCTCTCGCCGCCTCTGGGTCGTTACACGGCGTTACTCGACATCATTCGGTGATACTCCAGCGATGCTCGAGCGTTACTCAACATTCCCTGACGTTACCCGCCGTTACACGGCCACGGTCGCGTTATTTACGCTTTACCCCTCCCGGGCCGTTTTTTGCGCAAAGTTTTAGTTCCGCGGGCGCGTCGACCCCTGGAAGAGCCGCGGATTACGTATTCCGCGCGGATTGTAACGGGGAAACGGTGTGAATTGTGCATTCGAAATCTCGGCCGGACTGCCGAGTGAGTTACGACCGGCGACCGTGGAGAGAGGTCGCGGGAAGAAGGGGGGGCAAAAAAGACAAATACAAAGAAATTCCACTCCTGGCCGGCCGAGCGAATTCGCAGGAGGGGAAAGGAGGTCCTCGCGCCATTCGAGGATCGCGACCGAACGGTCTCAAGGATCGATATTCGATCCTGTCGGCTTCTAACGACACCTTTGTCTCCATGCAAATTGAATCGGGCACCGACGTGCCCCTCGGGGGGTCGGCCAAATCCCTAAACTACGCGCGCACGGCTCCGAGTGCTGTTCTCCTATTTTTCCCCCTTTTTCTTTCTTTCCTTCTCCTCGTAGTTTTTTTTTTTTTTACTCACTTTTCCTTATCCCGGTAATGGGATTCGGGACGAAGTGCCGTGCACGGATTTCCTTGGACTTGTTTATCGGGCGAGTCGCGCGCCCGAAAAAGGGCCAGGGAATTCATGGCGCGGAATTCCACGAGAGGACTCGTCAAAATGCTCCTCTTCGCGTTACCCGCGAAAAAAATTCCCGAAATTTTTGCATTATTTAATAATTCGCCATCTTATAATTCAGAAATTTAATCGAATCATTCCACGATTCACTATATAATAATTCAAGGATTTTTTTATATCCTCTAACTAGCTCTTCCAAGATCCATGAATTTTATGGAATTACTTAATAATTCAGGAATTTAAGCGATCCGAGGATTAAATTTTTTTTTCGCGGTTTGCAGGATTTATCGGAAGTCGATCGACGGTAAAAAAAAGGGGGGACCTTCCCTTTTTGATTTTCACTTTTCACCCCTTTAACCCGCCGTCTGGAGAGTATCGAACTCTGGAGGGCCCTCGGTCTCCGTCTCTGATCCGCGATTCATAGATCGCGACAGAGTGGCCCCGGGTATCGATATTCGATCTCGATGGTCCTAATAGCACCTTTGTCCGCATGCAAATTGAATTCGCCGCCGGTATCGACGTGCCTCCCCCTCCCATCCCGAAGATAGTACAAAAGCCTACGTATATGTACGAGGCTCGAGCCTTATCTGCGATATCAACTATGGAAACCACGCTTTAAGCGGATCAATTCTCGTAATAAGCCACTTAAAAAAATAAAAATAAAAAAAGAATTAACGCGCAACAAATCCCCGCACATTCCACGATCTCCATCCATTTTGAAATAAAAAGAAAACCTTCTCACGTCCCTCATTACTCTATTACACCACTTGGCAAAATTCAAGCAAACTCTACAGAGATCTACCGCTTATCAATGCGGATCGACCCCGCATCTCGTTGCAAAGGACAAAAATAGATTAAAAAAATTCCCCTCCCTCTCAATAATGATTAAATATGAATTGAAAACTATCCAGAGGTCAAACGGGCGGGTATCGACGAGGTAAAAAAGAATAACCGATCGGTAAAATAAAACGAAAAAAGCCGCTCGAAAGTGTCGGACCGCGTCGAGGACTCTTCCTTTCGTCGGGATCCGGAAAGAGGATCGGATCCCTCTCTTCCCGGGGATCGATACCCGATCTTATCGGCCTCTAACGACACCTTTGTCTCCATGCAAATCGAATCCGCCGCCCTCGTTTTCTCGTACCCGAGGAGGAGGGACCGGCTTCTTGTAATGCGTTTGCGCTCATGTAAATTAAACGGCTGAACGCGTCTTCGGGCAAAGAGAAGTCACCGGGGAGAGACGAGTCGGTATATCGCGAAGCGGAATAATCCGCGGAGGCCGCGGTGTCTCTCTCTGTATAACGTACGTGTACACGTATACGTGAGACTCGCGTACGCGCACCTTTATTGGCCGACGCGAGCGCGGATTTCATTTGCCGTCCACCGCGGAATAATAACCTGCAATTCTGACCGACCGGGCAATAACGAGTGGCGGTGTCATGAAGATGACCATCGAATGCGTCGCGAAATTATTATTCTCTTTTTTTTCCACATCTACAGAGGCGTGGGTAGTGCGATTTTTTTTTTAGAATAAATTTCAAAATGATTTTGTCCTCGTTAAGCTCAAACGGTTAAATACAGTTTCAAGTACGGAGGAAGGGTACGAGTAGGACCGCAAAGATAAATATAAAATTTCATGTCTGTTTATATAGCGCATTTTTGCAAGAATTTACGGGGCAAAAAAATCAATACTACTGCAATTCGCAAATGTGCGTCGCGACTCGATGGCAAGAATTTTCGGGGAGTGATTTTCGGGGTCAGTAAGTAGGAAAAACGTCGATTTAATTTTCAAAGTCTCCGAAGGAGTCCTCTAACTAATAAGTCTCCGATAGCGAAGTACTATTTGTCCTGAGAACACGGTCGTAAAGTGCGGCTCGGCTCGGTAACAAATATTTTCTCAATAAATCTTTCCTAGTCGTTCCAGCCATCGAACCATTCCCGGCACCTTCGAGAATGTACAGAAACACGTCTGAGAACGTTTGCCTAAAGATAAACAAAACCGCCGAGTCAAAGTCCGATAAGAGGAGACTCATTGAAGTTAGAAAATCTCCAAGGAAAATCTACGGACTCTCTCTCTCCCTCCGACAAAGAAAAATAAATGAAAGCGATACAAAAATTCAAGAGAAAATTATTAATGATCGGGATAAAAATGTAAAATCGATGTTATCGAGCATCGATGAGATTCATTTAAAGGGACAACGAAAAGATGCAACGCTTACTTGTTCCTTTCCTTTCCTCCTCCGCTGCAGTTCAGGGCTCTCGGGGCTGATAAGGATCGGATCGGAAGTGGAGATAAGGGCGACTTTGCTCCTCGCTTTTGAAACCTCGGCCACTTCTCTTGGGCATTGGGAAGGTCGTCGAGGGGGTACAACAAAAGCCAGGAATTCTTCAAGGGGCGAGACCGTTTATAAAATAACTGAATTAGTCAAAGTAACAAATTAAATAATCTAATATCCTCATAGGAAAAAATCATGATAAATACTGCTTTACTAAAATCACGACAACCAATAAATTTGTCTATACCTCATTAGGTACAGATTACTAGATACACGTATCGTTAGCAGAAAAACCTAAAATATTTCATGTACCGGTTTAGAAAAAGTGAGGTTATAAGCCGCATTCGAGGAGACTCTTCCGGAGGAATTTTCGGTCGCCAAGGACGGCAAAGGGCGGAGGTACGACAAAGAGACAGGTGTCGAGTCAAGTCGGAAGGCATGTCGTTTAGTTTCGTTTTTACTCCGAAATTCGCGAGCGAGTCGCTCCGAAATCCAGGCGGTCGGGAAGAAATTAACCCAAGTCGTTCGAGAAGGCGCGAGAGGGTGCGATGCGGTCCGTCGGCGGTTAGAAGAAAAATTCGGATTCTTACCTTGGGGCGACGCCGTGTGGGCGACCGGTGGGAACAAGAAAAGCGGCACCGAGCGTGGCACGATCACATAATGCACTGACACTGCACAGGTAGGGACCGGCAGGAGCACGCGCGTCCCGAGCCGAGTGGCGATTCTCGAGAGCCGATTGGTCGCGCCGTCGGCAAGCCGGTCGCTGATTGGCCGAGCGGTCGGCCGATCGGTCGCTGATTGGCCGGCGCGGCCGGCAGAGCCTCTCGGTCGGACTCGCGGGGTTCAGCGCGCCGGCAACGCGTCCCTCGGAAACATAACCTGCAAGGGATCGGGAGCGAGCGAGTCGACCGGTGCGTCCTCGGTGCGGGGAACAATGGCGTCCCGAGCGTGACCTGTCAGCTGCGAACGGCGAACGACGGCCTCACCGTGCGAGGGTACGTGCAACTCTGAGCCGACTCGCGGAGCCACTCGGAGCGTGTCCGATGCGGGCGAGGGTGAGGGTGGCCGCGGAGTGGTGGGGACGCGGTCGTTCGCGCCGAGGAGTGGGAGCGCCGCTCGATCGTCGGCTCCGCTCGGTCGCGCTCGGTCGTTTCCGCCCGCGACCGTTGAAGAAGGCCGCTGGAGAGCCGGCGCCATCTTGGGGGACGCTCCGAAAATACGTACCAAACTCCGAGGATCGTTCAGAGAGTGCTGAGATGTTTCGCCACGAACGGGCGCAAGAGACGAAGAGAGAGAATCATCCAGGAGCTTTCGTCAAGTAATTCATCTCGGAATGATCGGAAACTGCCCCAGATGGACGGAATATGCGATGCATTCCAAAGACTCCGAAGAGTGTTGCTCTCCTGACGCCGTTATTCGACATTACCTGAACGGCGGTAAGACAAAATTACAAATTTAACGTCACGATGCTTTTATAGCTATATGAAAGATATCGTCCGGAGTTCTTAGAAAATTAGGGTTTATAATCAGGGTTACGATTAAAAGCTTTTTTCCGACCTGGGTGTGCCGAATCTCATGAGCGCTACGTTCTTCCTAAAGCTTCCATAATCGCGTGCAGAAGTTTCAAATGATTCGGTGCCCCCGGTATGGAGAAAAGTTTTCATAATATTTTGACGCGTCACCTTAATGACTCGCGGATGGATCCTGGAAGGAGAGGAAGGACGTTTACGCAAACGTCGCGGTTTCACCGAATCGAAGACAGGAGCGGACCAAGGATCGATGGGTCCAATGGAATCCCAAACGGTGACATTTATTAATAGCCCCGGCTCCGAGCAATTTGCATGTCAATGGGTCAGGGATTTCGCCAAGGTAGCCTAGGCGCCGGCCGCCGCGACGCATGTCAAAGCGAGCCCTTTGCCCCGCCCGAATGGCGCGAATGGCGCGAATGATTATTTTACGAAGCAAATGGGATGGAGTAATGCGATTTTTCCATATAATCGACGCCGCCCGCGTTAGCTCGAGCTCTCCCGAGAGGTAATATCGATCGGGGCCATCTGCATCGGGGATAATTGCATCCTCGGACACTCGATAATAACGATTGGGTGCACTTCCCGCGATGACCCTTCACGGTATTACTATCACGGTACGACTTCTACTGCAGGGTAATATAAAACAGGATTCCGCCGAAAGGTGGCCCGATGATTTCATTCTACGGATTTATACGTTCAAGTAGCGTCAATCATTTCCGAAACGAGCGACGTATTCATTAATTATTCGTTAATAATATCCTCTGGCGCCGAATAATTCTGACCACCGTAGTTTTATTTATAAGCATGCAATTATATTTAAAGAAAATTCGCTGAAAAGAATTCTTTCACAAGATTATGGAAAGGGATGTTCCATCCTATGAACGCTGTATAAATATGTATAAAATGGCGAAGAATCGATGTCGTCTTAATTTGGGCGGCAAGAAGGCGAAATAGCGCGCCTTTGCCTCGATTTTGGAATTTTCTGCGTCCCACCGGTCCATTATTCGCACTTTAATGATTACTCGGCGATAAGTTGCGAATTCATGCCGAACGCGTTAAACGAATGCAATGGGCGATCGCGTTGATTCGGCTAATTAAAAGATTGCGGTGCACCGAGCGACCTAGTTCGCTCGGTCGATACCGATCCAGGAACGATATGCCCCGTGTTCTATCACGGGATATTAACTGGCAATTCGCATAGTGATTAATAACGGATAATCGACAATCGGCACGCGAGTAATGTACCGAAACGTAATTTTGGAAATCTAGATGCGAGCGCGCGGAATGCACGCGCTATTAACTTCGATCCGATTTCCCCGCTTCTTTTTTTATATCCTTGCGTGGAAAAATGGGAAGAATGGCGATTCCGGTTTGATCATCGATATCCCTCGATTCGTCAAATTCGCGTTTTGACGTTGAAGGACTGGACTTAAAATTCTCACTTCGCAGGGCGGACGTCCCTCCCTCCCCCCATCTGCCTACATGCACATTTAAATGCAATTCCGCGGAATGCACGCGGTACACGCTCCGGCGTCTTCGAATGCAAATAGAACCCCGGAGTCGGCTCATTAAAAGCGACGAGCGACGTCGGCACGGCCTTCCAGGCCAAAAAAACCGAAGTAAGTGTTTTAGGGGACCCTATATCCATCCGAATAGTCAAGATGGTGTCGCTGGTATACGGGAGCGCGGCGGGCTCCATTTAAATTCGGGCGACGCACATGCGCCCGAAAGTAATTGGCGTTGTCAGGTCGGGAATATCTTATTCCCTTTGCACTTTACGCTCTTCCTGACTTCTGTCTCGGCTTACTGGAATTCGAGAATTCGCCCCGCCCGACTTTTTGCCACTCTACGACTGCGTGATTCACTTTTCTCGGACATCGTTGGGAAAACGCGAGGGCGAAAGCGACGCCGCGGGAATAATATTCTTCTATTTTGTTTTTTCCTGCGGCCTCCCTTTACAATGGCTTCCAAACACTTTCGAGGGGAAGATACGCTAGAAGAAACGACGTACACGTTTTATTTTGCCTTTTACAAAATTGCGACTGTCGGTACCATTTAATGTTATTATTTTTAATTCAGGATTTAGAGATAATTCCTTAGGGGGAAATTGGGGATGGGCTTGAATTTATTATTTTAACGAGTTGGCGCTTTTTTATATGCGGAAAAGGGCTCGATGGGCAGATTTGGCGAAATTGGGGCGACATAAATAATCCCTTATAGCGCGGTCGGATTGATCGGCGATTTTTCTAGTGCACTTCGCGAGCAATCGAGCTGCGTAATCGTGAAATCCTGGATGGCAATTCACAATTCCACGTACAAACTCGTGGCGTATTGGGACGAAATTTCATTCGTCCCCCCCGTGGCGGGATTCATAAAATATGCAACCCGCTTTTCTGCGGCGTTTATCATTATATCGCAGGACAGGCCGTGATACTTGGATATTGATGAGGAGGCTCGAACGAGCACACTTGCCGGTCCGAATCTCACGTTAAAATCGAACCACCGGCGAGTTACCGTGAATTAATCGACCTCGCGTCAATTGAAACGTTACGAGGGATTTTGAAAATCCGAGTTCCCCCAATTGGCCTTACCGCGACATTTTCATCGACCGCCAGTAATTTAATCCTTAAGTGGAAATTGGGTCGCTTTCCCCCAAGTCATAAATGTACCTATACAAAAGATATAAATCTACGAGGAACAGATTTTCTTCCAATCGTTATTAATCGCAACTAGGTGGGGATAGGAAGTGCCAGATTGTACGTAAAAATTGCAGATTTGCGATATCGTGACCCAAGAGGGAGAAATGATCGAATTTTGAGGCCAAGAAGATCTGGAGGGTCGGCGAAATAATGAATCTCCCCGAAATCGATTGGATATAAAATCCCTTGAGAAGCCCTTGGGAGAATTCTTTAAATTCGGAGGCTTTTCCCACGGCGGAGTTACTCGTGCGGGGTGTTCGAACTGGTAAAACAGAGCCGAGGAACTATCTAGGTTAGTCCCGGCAATATTTGCCCTCTCTTGTTTGCCCACCGCTGACATCGGCGACCTCCCTCCCCGGGAAGTCGGGGGGTTTTAAATATTTAAATTCCATCTTTGAAAAATAGAGGCGGAATCCCGGGGTTACCGACTGCGGGCTCCCGATGGCTGCCGGAGGGTGTGTCGGATGGGCGAACAAGACTCGGGGGGAAAAGAGTGCATTAAGCCTGGAATTATGAAGAAGTAGCTCGCCACCCGGTAATCACCCCGTGAGAAATAAACCGCATAAACAAAGGAACGAAGATCGATATCCACCGTCTTCGCGAGTGCCCTTTTCCCCCCTTCGGAAGGGGTTGCACCATTTAACAGAGTGGACCGCACAATGAAAATGCAGAGGAATATTTTCCGGAATTCCCTCTATTTTTTATTTAAATTCAAGAAGGCGCAATTGCGATTTTATGCCGGCATTTGCGAGCTGCATTTTTATTTATTTATTTATGTATATTTTAAGCGAGGCTCGTTATCGGTCATAGGTACTTTTAATTATTCCGAGGAATATCCTGGAATATAGGGATGCATCGGAGGATGCACCACTTGTCTCTGTATCGATTAGATGGGATTGTAAAAATGTAATATAAAAAAGATGGGTACAGAGAGAGAAATAATACGCGGTCTTCGGTTTGGAGACCCGGAAGGGTCCCCTGAAAAATGGAGTCGCGTTCGATCCGAAATTTTCCACTCTTCGTCCGGAAAACGACCTCGAAGAGGACGGGAGTTTCCCTCTGTCGCGGGGTTTGCAATCCCGTTTTGCAAGGCAAACCGGTGTTTACCCGGTGGTAAGGTTTTCTCGAATTCCGCGATTGGCGGAACCTCTATATTTGTATGTGTACGAGGGTATATGCGGCGAAGGAGCATGCTAGGTATCGAGAAACAAGAGGCGATGGTCGCCCTTCCTCAACCTGGAGGAACGGCCGGTTCAATTCCTGTTCGCAAACCAAATATTTCGCGATATTACCTCGGGAACGTATACGCGAGCCGACGGATCGCCGACAGAGAGACAGAGAGAGAGAGAGAGGCCCGAAGCGGCATTCCGACAATTCCGTTCCCCGAAATCCGGAAAAATCGCTCCCGGATTCGCCGCGCTGAATTATCGCCCCGCAGAAGGACCCCCCGGCTTTCCGCTGCGGAATGCCGCGTCGGTACACCGGAAGTGCCCATCCGTCCTGGTAGGTGACTCGTGGGGGAATTTCGCCTGGCTTCTCTTCATCGTCAGGAGAAATTTGCTCTTCGAGATGGATATGGATATTGCTTTCGTAAAGAACTTTGTTTTTCGGGGTACCCGAAGTGGCTTCATCGTCCCTCGCTCTTCGACGTGCCAAAAAACATCATTATCTCGAAGGACTTTGCTTCCTTGAATTTTTCTGAATTAGCCGATATCCTTTAATTTTGGAATAATTCGATGGGATCGGAATCAGAGGACTTTCGTGGGGGTTCCTATCCGGATCGACCACGTTTCGGGGCGTCCATCGCGTAATGGATTAGAAGGACTTGGTTGAGCGACCCTCCCGAATATTTACTCGGTTTCGTCGGGTTCTCCGGTTATTCCGGACGGCCGGAGCCGCGGTGCGGCTCCACTCGCCCGGATTCAACGCTCGCTAAACTCGGCCTCTCTACCCCATTACATCGCCACCGTTTTCCCTGTTGCTCCAACACTTGTTTTCGTTCCATCTAGCCCGGGATGCGGAACATCGTTGAGAATGCAAACTACGCGTCCACCTTTGGGTGAAGCCTGGTATCCTGGAAGACACGACCCTGTCTATCGGGTTGTTACTTCCACCCGTCATCGCCCCGTTTACGTTCCTGCCTTCCATTCGCTCCATATTTCCAGGGAAACAAAGAGGTCGACAAGTCTGAAAATCATCGAAATCCAG